GTGGTGAGAGCAGAGCTGCTGGGAAGGGACAGTGGAGGGCATGGGGGCATGTCAAGGACGGAGGGCCCATGCCTGGCATCCCGCTGAAGTCAGTATGGTGAGGTTAGGCCTCTGGAGGCGGGGAGCCGGGAGGCCAGGGGGCTCACTATGATGTTTAAAAAAGGATCCGTGGAGCTCCCAAAGACGTCCACCCCTAATCCGTGGGCCCTGTGGACGTGTTACCTCACGGGGCAGAGGGGACTCTGCAGATAGGTTAAGTCGAGGCCCCTGGGATGGGGGTGACCCTGGATTCCCGGGGCCCAGGGTCATCCCAGGGTCCTGAGCAGAGGGAGGCGGGAGGGTCAGAGGCCGAGATGGAGACGCTGCGCTGCTGGCCGTGCGGACGGAGGAAGGGGCCCCGAGCCCAGGATGCGGCGCCTCTGGAAGCTGGAGGAGGCGGGACACGCTCCTCCCCTGGGGCGTCGGGGAGGACCAGCCCTGGCCACCCATGGAATTTAGCCCCGTGGGACCGTGTCGGACTCCCGATCCCAGGACTGTGACGTGACGAGTGTGTGTAGTATTAGGCCACTGAGTTTGTGTGACCTGACACAGCAGCCACAGGACACCCATCCATGGGGGGACGGGAAGGTTTGGCGTCTCGATGGGTGACATTTGTTGAGCCCATTTGACAAAACCCATCTGACCACACTGTCCCCGCCCATTTCACTCCGTGGAAATTTCCCGTAGACCTTGAAGCAGGCGACACATGCTGGCGTCTAGCAAATGGCCTGCCTGCAGCTGGCTTGGAAGTGAAATGTTGCAAGTGAGACGGGCAGACGGAGGCCGGGGCGGAGGGATGGAGACGGACCGAGTGAACGCAGCGAAACAGCACCGGGAGAGCCCGGGTGGCGGGCAGGTGGGTGTTCACGGGGAAATTCTCCCGCCCTTTCTGTGCGTTTGAAAATTTCATAATAAAATGCTAAAGAGTCAAACTGAAAAAGGATTGCATCTCCTTTCACCACATCCAGCGTCGTTTCCCAGCCTGGCTCTGTCTCCTGTCTTTCGTCACCGGAACAAAAAGCCAGAGGCCTTTGGGTCTTGAGCAAACAGCCAGGAAAAGGGGAAGAAACCAGAACCACCCAATTTTAATGTGCGTCAGACAGCCCCGGGCGAGATGCAGGCCGGGGAAGGCCTCAAACAGCCCGAGTGTGGCCACAAGTCCCCACACACATCTGGCGCCCGGCGATAAGGCGCAGGATGCTGCGCGGGGCTCTGCAAACACGAGAGAGGGGACGGGGCCAGCTGAGCTTATCTCAAACTGCTGGGCTGTTTTTTATCTTATTTTTATTTTTTATGTTCCTCGATACGTTTTTTGGTCTTTTGCTTTGCAATATTTCAAACGTTTTTACAAAGCTTCCGTTACAGAAAATGCAATGATTTGGGGGCTGACGCCCAGACGTCGCTGCTCTGCCCCCAGACTTTCTGCTCCTTGGTGCTTGGGCCTCTGTTTTCACCACATTTATCTTTGTTTCTTTTTCTTTCTTTTCTTTTTTCTTTTGAGGAAGATTAGCCCTGAGCTAACTGCTGCCAATCCTCCTCTTTTTGCTGAGGAAGACTGGCCCTGAGCTCACATCCGTGCCCATCTTCCTCTACTTTATATGTGGGATGCCTACCACAGCATGGCTTGACAAGCGGTGCCATGTCTGCACCCAGGGTCCGAACTGGCGAACCCAGGGCTGCCAAAGCGGAACATGCACACTTAATCCCTGCGCCACCGGGCCGGCCCCTATCTTTGTTTCTATAAAATATTTGTTGCTAAATATAAGCGATGGATGCTCACTGAGGAAACTACAAATATATGCGTGTAATTCTTACTGGATCTATACTATATATGTCTGTGTTTATAGAAATAGATTTATTTACTTATACATAATATTATGGATTATGTTTGAATAATGTATCTATTTATATTTTGTATATAATGTGCATTACATATTTTCATAAAATATGTATATATTTATAAACATGTAAGTACATTTTGCTGTTCCTGATTTCATAGCCTTTATTTATCTATAGGCTAAAGTGCTTTTTTGGAACTCCAAATCTTTCTCAACAGCTTTATTCGGATGGAAATCACATACCACACAATCGACCTATTTAAAGTGTACAGTTTAATGGTTTTTAGTATTTTTACAGATGTGTGCGCCCATCACCACAGTCAATTTTAGAACAGGTTTATCACTTCAAAAAGCAGCCCTGTCCCCACCAGCATCACCCCCGCCTCCCTCCCAGCCCCTGGCCCCCACGAGCCCGCTCTCTGTCTGTGGATCTGCCTGTTCTGGACGTTTCCCGTCAATGGGATCACACGCCGTGTGTCCTTCTGCGTCTGCTTCTCTCCCTGAGCGTCGTGTGTTCAGGTCCGTCCACGTGCGGCTGTGTCCGGGCCTCGCTCCTCTTCACGGCTGCGTAATATTCCAGCGTGTGGACGGACTACATTGCGTTTATCCGTCATGCATCGACGGACGCCTGGCTTGCTTCCACCTTTTGGCTGTTCTGACTGATGCTGGTGTGGACGTGGGTGTGCAAATACCCCTTCGAGTCCCCAGTTTCATTCCCTTTGGGTCTATATGTTGGAGCGGAATCACTGGACATCCGGTAATCCTATGTCTAGCTTTTTGAGGAACGGCAAATCACAGTATCCTCTTAAGAGAAAAAACATAGGTTGCAAAACAAAGTGTTCAGACATTCACTAAGGATGCTCATTGTGTAAAAACAAATACATCAATAATATTAAAACAGAAAGTTGCAAAAACATCCAAGGAAAGAATACTGAAATATCATACAGCGTCTGAAGTTGCACGGGGCCATGGCGGGCGTTTGACAAACTGTCCTCTCTGAGCTTGTCCCCATTTTCTAAACATTCGGCTTTTGTCCGTGTGATGAGGGAGAAAATCAGAGTTGCGGGGATTTCAGGGAGTCGGGAGGGGGCAGGGGGCGCTGGCCTCGGCGGCCCCGCGTGTGCTCAGGTTCCCGAGTGGCTCCTGCGGAGGCCGTACGTGCCCAGGAGTTTTCCCGGCGGCAACTCCCTGCCCGAAGCCACTTCCCCTTTCCACTCGGGGGTCCCAAAGTGGCCCACGCTTTGCAGCTGCAGACCCGTGGCTGCAGGTCTCAGAATGCACCTTTGAAGGCCAAGAGGGGACACAAGCATTCAGGCCACAGTGGACCCCCTTCCCAGATAAGGTCACGCTCCGAGGCGCTGGGGGTCAGGACATGAACGTGCATTTTTTGGAGGGGCGACCCAGCCGTAACGGGGTCAGGGGCGTGTCTGGAAGGTGAGCCTTCTGTAAAGGGCCTAGTGTGCACACGGGGTGGGACCGAGGACCGGGGTTGGGGGACGGGGCCAGGTCACGCGGGGCGAGGGCGCTCCTCACCCGGGTGAAGCCGGGTTTCCCACAAACACCCGGGAGAGTTTGCTGAGCGGGGCGATGTCCACAGGGAGCAGCATCGGCCGGGACAGGGGAGGGCTGGCGGTCCCCCTGGGGTCCAACTCACGGCCCACCCTCAGTCCTTCCCTAGGCTCGGCCCGCCTGTCCTCACTGAGCGAACACTGTGACACCAACGGACGCTACTACGAGCGAAACTGAGGACAAGGTCTGTCCTGACGGCATCCTACATGGTGTCACGTTTGTAAAAGTCTAAATGGAACAGGGTCCCCCTCGGCACGGTGACATTGGGGCCGGGTCACTCTCTGGGGGGCCGTCCTGGGCATGGTGGGGGGTTGAGCAGCATCCATGGTCCCCACCCACTCGATGCCAGGAGCTCCCCCAGTGTGACACCCACAAATGTCCCCAGACGTGGCTCAGTGTCCCCCGGGGGGCAGGATCACCTCCTGTTGGGAACCACAGACCTACAGTTACAGAAATCACATCCTTTTACAAATTTTAAAACACATGGCTCCTCCAGAGGATTTCAAAGCTTCCCAGTGCTTTCGAGATAAGCTGGTGACTTTGCCCGCCGACATCGCGTGCCGGTGACTTGTCAGGGCTCCGTTAGTGCAGACGGCCCTGCGGGAGGCTGTGACATTCGTCCTGGCCGCGCTGGCCGCCGTTTGCAGAGCTAGCACCAGGGGGACAGCTTAGGGACGCGGGGTGAGCGGTGTCTCGAGGCTCCGCCTGAGCTCACAGGGCCTCTCACGTGGACCCAGCCGCACTGCACGGACTTCAGCACTGAAAACGGCACGCTGCTCGTGGGCGAGCAGCACGGGGGCCCGTGTTCACAGCAGCCAAAGGGGGAAGCAACCTGAGCGTCCATCACGGATGGTGGATGCACACACGGGGACCTCCACACGCTGGAATATTACGCAGCCGTGAAGAGGAGCGAGGCCCTGACACGGCTGCACGTGGACGGACCTGAACACACGACGCTCAGGGAGAGGCGCAGGCACAGAAGGACACACAGCGTGTGATCCCATTGACATGAAACGTCCAGAACAGGCAGATCCACAGACAGAGAGCGGGCTCGTGGGGGCCACGGGCTGGGGAGGGGCAGGGGGTGACGGCTCATGCGGAACTGGCCTGCTTTTGCAGTGATGGAACGTTCTAGAACTAGATAGAGGTGATGGTTGGACATCTCTGAATGTACTAAAACCCACTGAATTATACACTTTTAAAGGATAGGTTTTATGGAATATGAATTATATCTCAATAAAGCTGTTATATATTTTAACATTGGCCCTGTGCTAACACCTGTTGCCAATCTTTTTTTTCTGCTTCTTCTCCCCAAAGCCCCCCAGTACATAGTTGTGTATTTTAGTTGTGGGTCCTTCTAGTTGTGGCATGTGGGACGCCACCTCAACATGGCCTGATGAGTGGTGCCATGTCCGTGCCCAGGATCCAAACCAACAAAACCCTGGAGCCGCCGAAGAGGAGTGTGGGAACTCAACCACTCAGCCCTGGGGCCGGCCCCCAATAAAGCTGTTATATTTTTAAAATGACAAAATAATTTCCCATACACCTGGGCCGGGCTGGAGTGGGTGTTGGTGTGTTTGATGACTGACTAAACGAGGACGTCAATGTTTGAAGAGGTGGGATGACACAAAAGCAGTCCAGGGTGACCGAGTGGTTACTTAAGCAGGATTTTGACCTCACCGCCCCCCTTGGAGGAAGTGATCCCACTTTGCAGATGAGGAAACGGAAACGAGGCCTCTGAGCTGGCGAATCACCCGGGTCAGCCAGCAGAGCCCGCATTCCACACAGCCGTCTTGCTCCTCCTCCAGGAAGTCCTCCGTGATGCCTCCAGACTCCACAGGCCGCATGGGCCTGGGGTAAGGCCGCTCCACGCAGTTGGCTCACACCTGGCGCTCCAGAAACGCTTGCTGGCCGACTCCGAGAGAGAGGGCAAGGCGACCACCCTTTGTGGGTGCTCTCGCCTCTGGACCCCCTTCTCTGAGGCTCCAAGACAGGAAGCAACGTGCCCAGGGTCACTCGGCCAGCCTGGGGGTGACTCTGTGCTGAAGGAGGGGTGGGGTCACCCTCGGCCAATGCCCAGTCCTGCCCCAAGGCGGGGGACGCCCCAGCGGCCATCTTGTGCCCGGCCCTCCTCCCTCTCGCTCCGCCGGCCCCGCTGATTGGCCCACCCTGCGGCCTCTGGCCACCTGTCGCTGTCTGTCTTGGGGCCACCCTCCCCGCGCTCCATCCCGTCCACCAGGCCCGGCGCCACGGCTGCGGGGTAAGTGGGGCAGGGGGAGGCCCAGGCTGAGGTGGGGGTCCCCGGGGTCTGGAGAGTGCATCTCTGAGGTCCACAGGGGTCCCCAACTCTTGCGGCTGCCCCCCCCACACACCTAGGGGCACCCACCTCCTGCCCACTTGGCCCCTCCCCCACTGCTCAGCTCCAGCCCCCAGGAAGGGTCTCCTCTCTGCCCAGCAATGGGGACACCCAAATGCTGGCAGCCAGAGGCACTGGGGACCCCAAAAAGCATGGCTTTGGGAAGCCAACAGACCTGGCTTTGACCTCAGGCTCTGCATGACCTCTGGCCTATGGCTGTCTCCAGCCTCAGTTTCCCCTTCTGCCCTATGGGAGCAGAGGCAAGGAGAAGGGGCAGCGTTGGGATCGGGGGACCCCTGGGACCCCTGTCTGTCCCTGCCTGTCATGGCTGGAACGAGGCTGGTCCTGGCTGCTGGGGCCTGAGCGCCTAGATTTAGAGAGCTGGGGAGGGGGGTGCCAGGAATGGTGGGTGAGAACAGTAGAGAGGGAGACCCCGTGGGGGCAAAGGCCTGGGAGGGGCCGGGCTGCACGTCCGCCTGTCCCGCTGGCCTCGGGCACCAGATAAAAATAGTCCTGGTCTCAGAGAACATGAGCCGACCCGGGGGCCAAGGGTTCTGGTTTGGGCTGTGTCTTTGCCCATCTCTGTGTGACTTGGGTGGGCCCCAGCCCTCTCTGGGCCCCAGCAGCCTCTGCTGTGCGCTCAGGGATGCTGGGGCACCGGAGAGGCTGGCCTATGGGGAGGGGTCCCAGGGCGGGCCTGGGGGGCAGGGAGGGGGCCTGGGGGGGGCCAGCGCGAGCGTGATTTGCCGAATGACGGGGGCCCCAGGCAGAGGGATGGGGCTGGGGGAGCCAGGGCTGGGTGATCCCTGTACACGGAGCCCCCTCCTTCTGGCCCACAGCAGGGGCCCAGCGAGTGAGGACGCCTCCTCCTTGTCCCCCCAGCCCCGCTGTGGACCCGCTGCTGCCCAGACGTCGCCATGACAACCAGGGCCGTGGAGGAGCTGGACGGTGGCCTTGGCAGCTGCCAGCCGAGCGAGGACCTCCCCACGCTGGCTGAGCTCTGCCCAGGCCAGCCCCCCGAGGACCGGGCTCGAGGTACCCATGGCGGTGGGGGAGGCGGGGGGGCTGGCAGGCTGAGGCCCACGTCCCCATCCTCCCGTTGAGCCACGTGGCTCAGCTTCAGAGACCAGGACTGGGCTCCCACTGGACTGGCTTCAACGGCGATCCCCGTTTCTAACCCCTGTGACCGTTCGTGCCTTGGGGGCCCAGAAGGAGCCCACAGGACATGGGTGCTGGGCCACACAGGTCGAGGCTCGAGTCCCACTTGCCAGGGAAGTGCTGGGTGCCTCCGAGCCTGTCAGCTTTCGAAAGTGGAAAATGGGAGCAGTCACCTGCCGCTTGCCCAGCAGAGCCCCGTGGAGGGCGGGATCGGCCTGGGGTCCCCACGACTTGACTCTCCCTCTTTTCCCACCAGCAGCGACGCCCAGGCTGGCCGACTCCGGCGGCTGGCCCCACGTAAGTAGCCGGAGCTCTCAGGCTTCAGTCCAGGATGCCCCTGGAGTCGGGAACACGCTGGCCAAGGGGGGTGCGTTCCTCCAGCCCACGGGAGAGGTTTGGGCTCCCTTAGAGGAAAGATGGGACCATTTGTGACTCCCCATAGGACTCCCGGGAGGCAGCAGCTGAGGGCAGCCCAGAAGGCAAAGTGGATGCCAGGCCCAAGAAGACAGAAAAGGAGCCTGTGGCCAAAGAGGCCCCAGGACCCGGGAAGGAGAAGCTGAAAGCAGGTGCAAATGGGTTTGCAGGAGGCAGGGGTGAGGCGGGGAGTGGGTATGGACGGGTATGAGGGGTTGTTCCTCGGCTGGGTCCTTGGATGAGGGGTGGGAGGGGAGGTGTGGCTCATGGAGGCTCCCGCTGAGTGGTGTCCCGATGCCCCAGGCAGTAACTAAATGGGCCGGGAGCCTCTGCTAACCAGCTAAAGTGCTGCTAAGCTTCAGCTAATTATCTTCTAGAATATTCTGGGCATCCCAGAGAAGCTGCCAAGCACGCAGGGCTTAGTTCTCCCGCCAGGGCGGCACACACAGAGCTGCGTTTAGGGCGGACGTGTGCCCCCGGGTACCGGCGCCCAGCCCCGCCCTTGCTCCTGCAGCCCCCCGGAGCCCCGCGCGCAAGAAGGCGCAGAGTGCGCCGCCCCCGCAGCCGCCGCCGCCGCCGCCGGCCCTGAGCGAGGAGCTGCCCTGGGGGGACCTGTCGCTCAACAAGTGCCTGGTGCTCGCGTCCCTCGTGGCGCTGCTGGGCTCGGCTCTCCAGCTGTGCCGCGGTGAGCCTGCGCCCCACGGGGGGCTCCACGGGGCGCGCGCTCCTCCGGGGAAGGGTCGGGTCTGCGGGCCTCCCCTCCCCAACGGACAGGCCTCCTTCCCCCAGGATGGATCTTGTGCGCGGTCCCCCCACCCCCACCCCGCTCAGGGATGGACATTGGGTGCCCTCGCGATCGGGCCCGCGGCCCTCTCTCCAGGACCGGCTTTAAGCGTCCCTCCCCTCGCGCCCCACTATGGACCTTGCGCGGAGCCCTTTCCCTCCCAGTGAGGACCTTGCTGCCCCTCCCTCCCCTGCGAACACACCCTCACCCCCGCGGGCCTTGCATGCCCAGGGTAGGCGGTGGGCGCCCCCTCTCGGCGCGCGGGTCTTCCTTGCGCGCCTGCAGCCCGCGGAGAAACACGACCGGTCCTTTTGCAACCGCAATGAGGGAGATTTGGAGGGGAGGGGGCGCGCGCTGCAGCGGAGACACGGAACCCCTTCCGAGGGCTCCGAGGGACCCAGTCCAGCCTCAGGGTACCCGGCGGCGTCCGGCGGGGCCCCCTTCGCTGGTCCCCAGGGAGAGGGAGCTCTCGGGGCGAGGGCTAGGATGGACGGCGACTCGCATCCCCTTGTGTCCCCTCCCAGACGCCGTGGCTGGGGAGGCGGTCGCCCCTGCGCCTGTCCCTGAGCCGTGGGTCCCGCCGGGCTCGGCCCCCAAGGAGCCAGCGTCGCCCTTGGTAAGCGCTTCTTTCAAGTGACCCCGGGCGTCGGGTGCTCATTCGGGGGAAGGCCTGGGCCGGCCTGCGCTGACCCCAGCACCCCACACGGTCCCGTTGCAGCCGAAGCCCGTGGCCTGGGCGCCCCCATCGGGGCCGCCTGCGCCCCAGGTGGAGGCAGAGAGGCCCGGGGTTCCCGTGAGCAGGGAGGCTGCCGAGCAGGACGAAGGTGAGCCTGCGGAGGAGCGCGCAGCCGTCGCCGACCGAGGGTCCAAGGAGAGGCCACGGAAGCAGAGGGCGCGGAAGGAGAGAGCGCGGAAGGAGAAGAGGCCGCGGAAGGAGAGGCCGCAGAAAGAGGAGAGGCCACGCGCCGCCAGGGAGCCCCGGGGAGCCCTACCCCGGCGCTGGGAGGCACGTGACGCCGGCCGTCGGCCATGGGCGCGGGACTCCGGACACCCCGAGCACGGGAAGAGGCCGGCCTGGGCCTCCCCACGGCGCCCCAACGAGGAGGACCGGCCTCCGGGCCGCCAGAAGGCCCGCGCGGGCAAGGGGCGGGACTGAGCCGGATCCCGGGACCCCTTCTCGGAGGCCCCGTGGTTCCAGTAAAATAAAGCGAGCGAGCGGCTCCGCGTCGCCTGCTCCTTTGCGCTTCTAACCTGCCCAGGGCCTGAGTGACGGGGATGGAGCTTCAGGCCGGCGAGAGGCAGTGGGGCCGAGGGGGACAACCCGGCCCTGCGCACCAGGAGGAGAGCTGGCTGAAGGAGGCCCCGCCCCCAACATGCACGGACACCCGAGCTGGGTGCTTGCTGGTCTTTATTGGGGCGATGATTGGGATCTGAATAAATATGGGCAGGGCGCCACTGGGAGCACGCGGCGGGTCACCGGCAGCCGCACTCGGTGGCCACCATGTTGGGCACGTGGTGCGCGCTGATGCGCTCCTCGGACAGGCTGATGAGCAGCTTGCCCGCGTAGGCAGTGGGCACGCAGCAGGGCGCGCGCGCCAGGGCGGCGCCGCGGGCCTGCATCTTTAGCAGCAGCACCACGTGGTTGCCGTAGCGCGGGTTGCGGTCCGACTGCGGCCAGCCGCACGCGCCCTGGCAGTTGTTGGCCTGGTACGTCTCGGGGATGAGCACGGAGCGCTCGGCGCGCAAGTCCACGCGCAGCTCGCGCAGCGCGCACGGCCCGTCGGCGGCCCCGGCCCCCGCGTTGCGCTGCGCCCGCCCGGGCCCGCTCCGCTCGCGCCCGCGCCACTCGGCGCGCAGGCCTTGCAGCGCCTTCAGCAGCAGCAGCGCGCGCAGCGGGCCGCCCGGGCCGCCCTGGTCCTCGGCGTCCCCCGGGCACAGTGCGAGCAGGCGCGCCAGCAGCGGCTCTGCGGCGGGGGGCAGCCCCGGGAGGCTGCGCAGCTCGGCCGCCGCCGCCTGCAGCTCGGCGGCCACGCGGCGCGCCAGGCCCGCGGCCCAGGGCGCCGACGCGGGGTCCGGCAATGGCGCGGGGTCCCCGGCAGCGGCCGCGGTGGGCGGCAGCAGCAGCAGCAGCGGCTCCTCGCCGTCGAGCAGGCGCTCCAGCGCCGCGGGGTCCGACAGGTTGACCAGGCCCTGCGGGAAGCTGGCCAGCGCGCCCGGGTCCAGGGCCAGGCGTGGCGGCGAGGCCGGAGTCGGGGGCCCCCGCAGCGCGCGCACCAGGCGCGTGAGCGTCTCCAGGAAGGGGTCGGCGCTGGGCCGCGGCTCCTCGGGCTCCGGGGACGGCCTGGAAGGCAGAGTCGGGGGCACTGAGCGGGCGCGAGGCTGCCCCGCCCCCACCTCCCCGCGTCCCCAGGCCAGGGCTTGCGCGCACCTGGCTGGCGGGAAGGGCACCGTGTCGAGTCGGCCGTGCGCGGGCATGGGCGCGGGCCCCGGCCGCTGCAGCAGGAACAGGGCGGGGGTCATCCGCGTGAAGCAGCGGGGGTCGGCGCCGAACAGCAGCGTCTGCAGCTGGGCCGTGCTCAGGGGGGCACCTGCACGGGGTGGCGCCGGGTGGCCTCAGTGGCTTGAAGCCAAGGGCATCCCTGTGCCCCCCGCCCGGTCCCTCTGGGCGCCGGCCTACCGTCTCCGCGAGGCTGCAGGGTCAGGATGAGCCCAGGGTGGCGCCAGGCCCGTGCTGGGTGGTCGACGGCCAGCGCCAGGTAGCGGGTGTCCGGGGACGGGCAGAGGCTCTGCGGAGATGGGGGCTCAGCCCGCTGGGTGGGCGCGGGATACCAGCCCCGCTGTGCCCGCTGCCCTTAACACCCCTTCACGGTTCCAGCCTGGACCCCTGGAGCCTTTCCCTTAACTGCGGCTTAACCCCCACCCTGCAACCCCCGTCCCAGGCGTGCATGTGGGCTCCTGAGACCCGGGACTGGCCCCCTGAACTGCCTGGTACCTGGGCCCCTGGCAGCCCGGCCCCCGTGACAGTGACCTCAGGGCCGGGCCCGGCGTACAGCACCAGCAGCGCTGGCTCCAGGGGGTTGGCTCCTCCAGATGGGGGCTCCTGGAACCTCAGCGAGGGCGTCGGCTCCCACATCACTGTCACCAGGACAAGGGAAAGGGGGACGCCTAAGCCACTGAAGCCGGGGCCCTTCCCCAGGCCTGTTGCCCCACCCCCCTGGGAGCCTTGGGGAGCCTGGTGGGAGGTTGACGTCTCTGGACACCAGGGGCAGGACCTCGCTGGGACACGGTGGCCAAGGAGGACTGACTGACAAGGTCGGTGGGGGGCCAGCTGCCTGTCACCCTGATGTCTCTGGGTCTGGGGTCTCTTGGGGGGCCCCTTCCTGCCGTGGGTCTCTGAGGCCAGTGGCCCCTGAGGACAGGCACCCCCTGCATCTGGCTCCTGCTGGGTGGGAGGACGGGCGTCCTCACTGGGCCCTCGGGGCCTTCAGGGGCGGAGTGGGCCACCTTCCCTGATACTGCAGGAGGGGTGGGCCTGGGAGCGGGCACCGGGGACCTGCCTCCAGACACGACAGAGGCAAGGTGCCCACCTCCTGGCCGTCGGCCTCCACTTGCCCTGGAGGCGGGAGGGGTCCGGGCGGGGGGCTCTGGCTGTGCCGTCTCAGGAGGAGGGGGCTGTCTCCCATCTTGGCGGCCTAGAACCACATCTCCCGCCAGCTCCAGGCACGGCCCCCACCTACCTTCCTCCAGGTGCAGGACCACCAGCCGCTGCCCCCAGGGTGCCCCCAGCCAGGCCTGCAGGCGCTGCAGAGATGGTACGGCCGCCTGCCGGTCGGCAGGGGAGCAGACCCCGAAGGTGGGCAGGTCGCGGGGGCTCCAGTGGGTGCGCTGCACGGCCTCCAGGAAGGCCTGCTCGTAGCCGCTCAGGGCCCCCGCCACCCGCAGCGGGGCGCTGCTCTGGTTGCCACCCTCGTCCAGCGTCACCAAGCACCCCAGGGGTTCTTGGGGGCTGCCTGGCGGCCAGTCCCAGTCCTGGTGGAAGATGAGGCCCCCGGTGCCTGTGGCTGGCTCCCCAGGCAAAGCTGGGGTGCTGGAGACCTCTTCTCCGGGGGTCCCGGCCCTCAGCAGAGCCCCCACAGCTGACAGCACAAGCGCCAGCCACGAGAGAGACGGAGCCCGCATCCTGGGCGCTGCGACGGCCCGGGCTGCCCGGCCTATATGGACGAGCCGGGGATGTTTGTGCGCGAGGGCGGCCCTATCTCCCGCGCCGTGACCTTGGGGGCCAGTGCCCGGCGCCCTGCCGTGAGCCTGGGCGGCCGGGCGGCCTCCTCAAAGCCCCTTCTGTTCCAGCCCAGCTGCCTATCTCCCCCTCACCGGCGACAGAAAGTGTGGCCTGTGCCCAATTGTCCACAACTGTCCTTGACGGGTTCTCCCCCTGGAGACAGCGGGAATGTGAGCAGGGAGTGACCGGCCCAGACTGTCAACAGCTCCCAGCCGGAGGGGGCAGGCACGGAGCGGGTAGGGCGAGCTGCAGAGCCCCCGCCTGGAGGATGGGGCCGGGCCCTGAGGGGCACCAGATGGCTCGGGGCTCAGAGCACTGGGTGGGCGGGCCTGGCTGGGGCTCCCGTCTCCTGCTCACTTGCTCTGACCCGGGGCCCGTGAGGCCGCGGTAGACCCCCAGGAGAGCGGGCAGCCTTTGCTCTGCTCTCCGCAGAGGACACACCCCAGACCCCCTGCGTGGCTGGCTGGTGGGGCCACAGGGACGCCCGACCCTGAGCCACCCCCACACATGGTGGAGAGCACCCCAAGGCGTCACTGACAGCAAGTGGGTGCTGTCTGCCGGCGCACACAGCGATCCACTCCAGACATCAGGAAAGCTGTTTAATGCGTTTTGGGGACACGGCTCAGCCCCGTACAGAAGCACGGACTTCACTCCAGGGGAAAATACAGGAATCAGAACCAGACGTGCCAGGACGGGGCAGCTTTTCAGTTGGCAGGGGGAGGGGGAGGAATGCTCCCAGGACCTTCGGAGGGCAGTGGGGGCCTCAGCATTGGGGGCATGGGAGTCGGGGGGTGGACCCCGGGATTGGAGGGGTGAACTCCAGGAGGCTGGGGGTGGACCCCAGGAGCTGGAGGATGGACCCCAGGAGGGGGAGGGTGGACCCCAGGAGGCTGGGGGTGGATCCCTGGGGCTGGGGGGTGGACCCCAGGAGCTGCTGGATGGACCCCCGGGGCCTGGGGGTGGACCGCAGGAGCTGGTGGGTGCACCCCGGGGGCTGGGGGGTGGACCCCAGCAGATGGGGGAGGATGGACTCCTGGGGCCGGTGGGTGGACCCCTGGGGCCGGAGGGTGGACTCCTGGGGCCGGAGGGTGGACCCCGGGAGCAGGAGGGTGGACCCCAGATGCTGGGGGGTGGACCACGGGTGCCGGCGGGGGGACCCCGGGGGC